CGTCATCTCCTAGATTCAAAAGATCTTTTTATATGGATGGTATCTCTAGTTTTAAAAAATGAAATATAAAAAATGACATGCGTATCGGTAGTTTGGTATATTTTTATAGACTTTTTGCTTTCTGTTCAGACATGCAACCAATCTGTACCCACACGTTTACATGAGCTAAACCATGGAGAATGTCACGAATGGAGATCAATAAACAAAATGTCAACATATTTGTTTGGTTTAACTACGTCACGTGGCCATTCATGACTACTTACTGTAAGTCACTTGTAATAACATCACGTGAAGCCTTGACAGATACGATGTTGATGCAGCGTTTTGTAAATAAAAACACATCACATGACGTAAATGTCTTGTGTTTACCGTATTTCGAGCGAGTATTGTTCCCGTGTTGTAAGATGATTTTATAGAAAATGAGATACCTTCATTCCCTATTCTTGCTGGTTTGTTGTATTTCAGATTGGTCAATTGAATTGAAACCTCGTGTTAAGATCGTTGTACCGTGGAAATGCAGTAATCGACTTTCCATTACCGCATGGCGTATTTTAACAAACGATTCCATATTGTAGTTATTTTGATATTTCGTTGATAAAATTGCGGAAATTCGCTTTTGTTTTAAGTCTTTGGTTAATCCGCGAAAATATGAACCATCGAGGTAAAACTCAAACTTTTACAGTAAGGTAAGAAAACTTCGACATATCACCTTGATGTCACTTCTGCTCATTTCAGATAAATTGTCCTCGGAGTAGTTAAGCTAAAACCACTTTATGTCAGTACTAATGCCTCTACCAAAGTACGTGTTCCTTTGCATGGTTTAGACAGTCTTAACATGAGTTAGACATCCTTAACATAGGTTAGAGATCATTAACATTGGTTAGAGATCATTAACATTGGTTAGAGATCCTTAACATAGGTTAGACATCCTTAACATGGGTTAGAGATCCTTTTCATGGGTTAGAGATCCTTTTCATGGGTTACAGATCCTTAACATGTTTAGAGTGGCAGCTAACTGGGATAGCTTTTCTTAACAAAAGTAGAGTGGCAGTTACACAATGTTACTAAGTTAGAGTACTTTACGCAGATTATGTTGCAAGGTCACATGAAAAATAATAAAAACTCGAAAAATTACGAAGAAAATAAGATCTAGTCTTCCGGAAGGCTAAGTATCCTCTGCTTCATCGACGGCATTCGCCAGGTAAATATTTGCCGATCGAAGTCAGTAATGTCACGTTCCCAAATGAGAACAAGGTAAACAACAACAGAACCACCGGGCATACTAGCCAGCATTAAAGGTGTATACTATTAAGGGTTCCGTTTTCCAAGGTCATAGTCTACTGTTTTGAGTCTGAAATGTTAGCAAGCATCAGTATAGTCCTCAACATCATTCTTTATCAATTTATTCACTAGCTGCAATTTGTATAAAAATATCCTTTTAAGACTTCAGACTTGATCTAGAAGGTTTGAATAGTCTTTTCATAATTTCATTTGCTAACGTAAAATGCAAAATTGGATAGGTGAAACAGATTATGCCAACAGTAATGAACAAACCAATACATTGAGAAACTCACCTGCGTGTGACAAATGGTGTAACTGCATCGTACATCAACACTAAATATTTCAAGTTTCACAATTTCCAATTTTCAGTTTTCATGTTTAATCTGTAAAGCGACGCAAAAACCAAAACAACAATCCGAAGCTGTGAATGCAGCTGTGGATTAAATTCCGGTGAATGACTTCTCTTCCGAGTAACATCGATTAGCTTTTATAGTTCAGCAAATTCCTTATTAGCTGTTGTCAAGTTTTCTCTACGAGATTAGGAAGCGCGTACCGTCTGCTCGCAATGATTGATTGACAAACGTTATTTTATTCAGTAAATGTTTCACTTTCTTTTTTGTCTAGAATTGGCTAGGATATCTTCCTTTACTGTAACGTGTCAGCGCCACTTAACGGAATCATGATACATCGTCTCAGTTTCTTCCTCTTTTTTTTACAGCTCGCGATTCGAAACTTTCGATTCTCTTCCTTAACATTATTTTGTTGTATTGACGTGTAATGAAGGCAACTCTCAAACTGTTATGTGATGCTGCATTTTGTTTTATAGTTGTACTGAAATTTTAATCGAGTCGTGTGACCTTAAACAATTTTCAATAGTACCACGTGGCCATGTATGGTTTTATAGTTTAGATGAACTGTTATAACCGTGTGGCCCTGTATGGTTTTATTGTTTTGATGAACTGTTGATATCACCGTGTGGCCCTGTATGGTTTATTGTTTTGATGAACTGTATGGTATATAACCGTGTGGCCCTGTATGGTTTTATTGTTTTGATGGAATGTTGATATAACCGTGTGGCCCTGTATGGTTTTAGATGGAATGTTGATATAACAGTGTGGCCCTGTATGGTTTTATAGGAATGTTGATATCACCGTGTGGCCCTGTATAGTTTTATAGTTTAGATGGAATGTTGATATAACCGTGTGGCCCTGTATGGTTTTATTGTTTTGATGGAATGTTGATATAACCGTGTGGCCCTGTATGGTTTTATTGTTTTGATGAACTGTTGATATAACCGTGTGGCCCTGTATGGTTTTATAGTTTTGATGGAATGTTGATATAACCGTGTGGCCCTGTATGGTTTTATTGTTTTGATGGAATGTTGATATAACCGTGTGGCCCTGTATGGTTTTATTGTTTTGATGAACTGTTGATATAACCGTGTGGCCCTGTATAGTTTTATAGTTTAGATGGAATGTTGATATAACCGTGTGGCCCTGTATGGTTTTATTGTTTTGATGGAATGTTGATATAACCGTGTGGCCCTGTATGGTTTTATAGTTTAGATGGAATGTTGATATAACCGTGTGGCCCTGTATGGTTTTATTGTTTATTGTTTTGATGGAATGTTGATATAACCGTGTGGCCCTGTATGGTTTATTGTTTTGATGAACTGTATGGTATATTACCGTGTGGCCCTGTATGGTTTTATTGTTTAGATGGAATGTTGATATAACCGTGTGGCCCTGTATGGTTTATTGTTTTGATGGAATGTTGATATAACCGTGTGGCCCTGTATGGTTTATTGTATGGTTTTATAGTTTTGATGGAATGTTGATATAACCGTGTGGCCCTGTATGGTTTTATTGTTTTGATGGAATGTTGATATAACCGTGTGGCCCTGTATGGTTTTATTGTTTTGATGGAATGTTGATATAACCGTGTGGCCCTGTATGGTTTATTGTTTTGATGGAATGTTGATATAACCGTGTGGCCCTGTATGGTTTATTGTTTTGATGAACTGTATGGTATATTACCGTGTGGCCCTGTATGGTTTTATTGTTTTGATGAACTGTTGATATAACCGTGTGACCCTGTATGGTTTATTGTTTTGATGGAATGTTGATATAACCGTGTGGCCCTGTATGGTTTATTTTTTTGATGAACTGTTTGGTATATAACCGTGTGGCCCTGTATGGTTTTATTGTTTTGATGGAATGTTGATATAACCGTGTGGCCCTGTATGGTTTTATAGTTTTGATGGAATGTTGATATAACCGTGTGGCCCTGTATGGTTTTATTGTTTTGATGGAATGTTGATATAACCGTGTGGCCCTGTATGGTTTTATAGTTTAGATGGAATGTTGATATAACCGTGTGGCCCTGTATGGTTTTATAGTTTTGATGGAATGTTGATATAACCGTGTGGCCCTGTATGGTTTTATTGTTTTGATGGAATGTTGATATAATGTTGATATAACCGTGTGGCCCTGTATGGTTTTATTGTTTAGATGGAATGTTGATATAACAGTGTGGCCCTGTATGGTTTTATAGTTTAGATGGAATGTTGATATAACAGTGTGGCCCTGTATGGTTTTATAGTTTAGATGGAATGTTGATATAACCGTGTGGCCCTGTATGGTTTTATAGTTTTGATGAACTGTATGGTATATAACCGTGTGGCCCTGTATGGTTTTATAGTTTAGATGGAATGTTGATATAACCGTGTGGCCCTGTATGGTTTATTGTTTTGATGGAATGTTGATATAACCGTGTGGCCCTGTATGGTTTATTGTTTTGATGAACTGTATGGTATATAACCGTGTGGCCCTGTATGGTTTTATAGTTTTGATGGAATGTTGATATAACCGTGTGGCCCTGTATGGTTTTATAGTTTTGATGGAATGTTGATATAACCGTGTGGCCCTGTATGGTTTTATTGTTTTGATGAACTGTTGATATAACCGTGTGGCCCTGTATGGTTTTATAGTTTTGATGGAATGTTGATATAACCGTGTGGCCCTGTATGGTTTTATAGTTTTGATGGAATGTTGATATAACCGTGTGGCCCTGTATGGTTTTATAGTTTTGATGGAATGTTGATATAACCGTGTGGCCCTGTATGGTTTTATTGTTTTGATGAACTGTTGATATAACCGTGTGGCCCTGTATGGTTTTATTGTTTTGATGGAATGTTGATATAACCGTGTGGCCCTGTATGGTTTATTGTTTTGATGAACTGTTGATATAACCGTGTGGCCCTGTATGGTTTTATTGTTTAGATGGAATGTTGATATAACCGTGTGGCCCTGTATGGTTTTATAGTTTTGATGAACTGTTGATATAACCGCAGGGCCGTGTGTGGATATATATTACTGAGTAGAATGATGTAAACATGATATGTGTTGTCTACATGGTTATAAAGCGTGTAACGCTTGACTGAATATGTCTGTCAAAATGAATTCATGTGCTTTCAACAGTAGTAATCGCGAGAATATCTCTCTCGCGATATTGATTCCGATAACAGTAAATATGGTGCCACGGTTATGTGAACTATACTTTTGAGTGTTTTAGTTTATACATCTTCAGATTGCAAACATGATGGTTTTGTATGTAGGTTTACTCGTACATCTTATAAGATCTCATAAAGGTCATGCACTTAGGAACATAGCGTACAGAACCGATGGATGCTGAGGGAATGTAGAGTATCTTCTCACGCTGTACAACTTTCACTAATTACACTTGTATTAATTGGCCCTTTTGCAGACTGGAGCTGGACCCGTGAGGTATAAAGCCGGGACAACAACAGACCAAGATGCTGTAACTCAACACCGGTACTGTGCAAACAGAGCTCTCGCCTGCTACCTCACGCCTTTTTGAACCCAGCCATATTCTCGGCTCCATTATACAGATGTGGATGGGCTATCGTTGCTCTAGAATATCCCAGGATATACGATAGCCACGAGGAGTTCAGGGAGGAGTACACACACATACACGTTATAGGGCGTAACATCAATACAACGGCAATGTAGAAGGACAGTGAAATGAATCTAGGAAGCTGAAACCAAAAAATAATGGTAATATTTGCGCAAATTTGTGATCTACGGTTTCAAGGAAAACTCGGATAAACATGAGTCGAAGAGCGAGTTTATACGCAAAGCAGAATCCGGGAAAATCTAGACCAAAAGTCCATTTCCCGGATGAGTTGGTGTTTTTAGACAATATTAAGGAGAATGATATACAGGGATTAAATCACATGTTACGCAGAGCAAGCCTGCAAGTGGATATTAGCGGTATCAATGACGCAGGTAAGTTATCAATATGTCAACATGTGGGTGTTGTAATTGGTACTAATGCTAGTTATACAGGTACGTTATAAATATGTCCACATGAGGGTGTTGTAATTTGTACTAATGTTAGTTATACAGGTAAGTTATCAATATTCATATGTACATATTACGATATCAGATAACATTTTATTATACACAATGTCACTCCAGGTATAATTCTTACAAACTCGTGCTCTAATATTCCATCGCTGCACAAATGCTGTCTACATATTAAAGACACGACGTTTTGTAGTATTGGTGTTTATGTAAATGAAATACCTTGGTTTTTATCGTGTAAATTAACACATATACCGGATACACGCTCTAACACATTTACAAATCGGTATCATAACGAGGTTCCTAGTACTTCTTATCCCAATAAAGATACATATATTTGAAATATGTTTTATGATGATAGCATCTTGGTTATAGGGTTACCGTGTTCTCCACAACAAATTTTTTTTATACGTTAAGGTAGAAATTTGAAGTTGTAAAAATAAAAAAACATAGAATATAAAAATTTAAATGGCGCCATTTAAATAGAATACATATATGTAAGCTCGCATATAAAGAGACGCAATGTAAAATTTGAAATAAAGAATCTATATAAAAGTCACAGGCACCTCTTTGAGAGTTCCAGTAAAATTCTTTGATGAGGTAAAGTGTATTTTGGTGTACAATAATTCTTCAGACTTTGATGAAGCAGAGGGTATTTTAGTGTACAATAATTCTTCAGACTTTGATGAAGCAGAGGGTATTTTAGTGTAAAATAATTCTTCAGACTTTGATGAAGCAGAGTGTATTTTGGTGTACAATAATTCTACAGACTGATGAAGTCGAGAGTGGTTTAATGTACAATAATTAGCAGATGGCAGCTAATGTATAAAACGCATGTAAATTTAACGATATGGGATTTAATTGTCAAAGGCTTTAGATGTTCCAAACAACGTTGTAAACATCGTATGAACAGCCGCGACACCGTGCCTTTGATGGTAAACCAGGCTGGTCGTAGACTCCTTGTTGTTTACATCAGAAACGGCATACTGTTCCACGTGTATGGAACCATGTTGAAGTTGCTTTCCCTTGTTTTTGCTGATGGTATAAACGTTTCTGATGCAATGTGGTTCTATAGTAAAACTGAAATAGATCTAGATAGGACACCCTAAATCGTAGGGTAAACTTCCTTGACGGAGAATGTTGTGGCTCCAACTGAATGATAGTCGATAAGCTATGATAAGAGGATGCAATGAATTGCACCAACAGTACCTAATGTTTTGACTGCTATCGCGGTGGAGACCATATTGGATTGTTTTAAATCCAGGACATCATATTGACTGTCTGTTAGACTTTTAAATCAGTACTTACAGGAGGTCATTAGAAGATAATTAGATATGTTCTGTGCTTCCTTTTAGCATTATTTCTATATTTTCAGATAACCATGGTCATTGTTCCTCTTCACCAATTAACAAGTGACAAAATAGACAGTTCTTAGCCGAGTTTTCGAATTGCCATGGTGTTGATCGAGTTCTTTGAGAATTTTTCTGAATCACATGGGACACTTTATATGGTATACTTGTGTTCAGCAGAAAATTGCTGTAATTGGCAGGGAATTTACATTGTTTGTAATGTCTTTTTGATGCGTTAAGATTGATATGGCCGATGTCGTCAATACAACCGAACACGTGCGCTTAATCAACTGTTCAGGAGCCGTCGTCAAAATCCTTTTTTTGTTCATATTTTAGCCTAGTTTCATTGAAAAAGACTTTGAATTAAGACTCTATTAACAGGTCAGTATTTTCGTTGTCGTTTTTTATAATGCTTAATTATTATTGTTTATTGTCAAAGCCGTACAATGAAAAATGCACTTTAAACATGCATATCTCACTTATATAGTACAAAACAGCTATACTAGAAAATCAGATTGCCTCTTTCCATTGTCACACTCCCATCGATTGCGCTAATGTAGATAAACCCGTTGGTAATTATTGTCAGAAGAATGAACTGTTAGATCTTTTATCTGATCCACTGGATCTAATCGTTTAATGGAAAGTATTCTGTGCACTCATGTTCTGATGAGGAATCTTTGCCGATGCTGCGAATAATGAAATGAACTATGAACAGATTTTATGTGCGCTGTCCTGATTTATCCTTGGTTGCGTCACAGAGGGAGAACATATAACTTACAGTTACATAGGATGTATTGTTTAAAATGTATAGGTAGGTTTGAAGTTAACCAGATCTATTTTATAAGTCAAATTGAAAAATATGATGAAAATATCAACAAAAGAAGTGTGTACAGGCCTCAAGAATAGTACAAGCAGGATAAGACCACATGTTCCGAAAGAGTAAGAGTCTTCTGCTTCAACGATGATATCTCCAAGTAAAACATTGGTCAATATACCTAATGTCGTGTTCTCCAAATGAGGAACCGAATTAATAACAACAAAACCGATGAGCATACTAACGAACACAAAACATAAACAACAGGCCCGTATGTTTGACCTCATCTTCAAAACAGAATCAAATTTTTCCTATTCTTATACCAAACCAAAATGAAATATTTCAGTTAAAAGCAGAATTACACAAGAGTCATGCTTAATATATATATTAATAGGTGCATTCAAGTGGATCAAACAGGATTGTGTGATATTTTCTAATCTTATTAAATTATCAAAGCTCATTACAACCGAATGTCGAGGCCACATCTCAGTAAGTGGAAACATCGCCACGTTTTGTTTTGCTGGTGTGTTTGAGAGTGTGTGTTTGTGTGATGTGTTCATTTTAATGTCAATTTCTTTGTAATGTGAGCCCGCCAACCTGTTATATACACCTTAAGATACAAATTCCATGTGATATGGCATAAGTGAAAATGTTTTCATACTTTCGCTGATATAAATATTTGTGGACGTATGGTTACATATTGATACAGAAAACTAACCCATATCACTGTCATTTTAAAAACGGCTATAGTAAAAAGTAAAATATTTTAAAGATATTTTCCGACTAAATACCTTTTTCCTGTATCATCACAATTATATTAACACGTAAGCGGTTACACACCATTTCATCAACAATGAGTTGATTATGAACATTGATAGGGCTTCACATATTCATTGAAAACTCAATGGAATGAAAGCACGTACGTTCTGAACTTGTTTAATAAATATCTTATGTGAAAAGGATTGTAGGAAATGACGTTTAAATTCCTCAAGCATCACATTAAAATAAAATAAAACTCTCATCGTCATAGTCCTATGTTATAAATGCCTGAAGTGTTTACAACTATATCAACCGTTTCAGTAATGTTTCATTGTCTTGTGGCAGGTATGGTTGATTGATTTTCACAGCTTTTCTAAATATGATGTTTAAATCAAGTTACTGAGCATTAATCTGATATTCCATTTGTTTATGTAAAACATTAAACTAACCAGACTTTTGATACCGTTATAGTATATAGATATATAGGTACCGGTCGTCCAAAGTATTGCGTTATTCTTTTGGGAGCATGCTATGGAAAACAATAGTTTATATGGAACAGAATACGCTTACTCTTCTGAAACACCTGGAATTATCTTGTTCTTTTTTATGAGTTTTCGATAAATCTTTCTTTTGTTCATATTTTGACCTATTTTCATCACAGACGTAGAAAAGATGCATTATTTCTTTTTTGAATTTGAGTTTGGACTATGATTATGTTGACATGTTGGTTTTTTTAGATGTGGGGATTGGAAAGAGTTTTCTCTGTGTGATATATGTATGTGTAAGGGTGTTTGTAGGAGAGAAAGGAAGAGATCAAGGTCGGGAGGTCGGGAGGTCGAGGTCGACTGGTTATTATTTACATATTGATTTGTTTTACTAAGGAATTATGCCAAAGCACTATATTCCTTAATTGATTTACAGATAGATTTAAGCGAGATTTTGATGTAAATACTCTGTGATAAGTGTTACTGATAGATCATCTAAAGCCGAGACAGGAGCCGTAATCAAATCACTGCCTGGACCAGTAATGGTAGTCTTTGATGTTAACGAGTAACATCCGGCAGACAATTAACACACAGAATGATCGTTCGAGGATATAGACCATCGCTATGGTCACGTGTCCAGTCAAAAGAATATACTAGATAATTACTTGCTACAATCGGAGAAAGCAGAAAGGTCATGTCTACCGTAAATAGTTTTCTTACCACTGTCCTTTCTCTCCTTGTAAATACATACATACAATCATTCGTAAATTTTCGAAACGTCATTCGTAATTCTATCACACTTGTGACGTCGTTCTACTTACAAGATAAATTATCTTGCTTCTCGCCACTCATCCTTTGATTTCAATTCAAGGGTCATGACGTCACAACCATCTTTATGTCAGTCACTTTTCCTGAAAGCATATCTAACATTTTATATCACACCTTGGTAAAATAGATGTTTAAATAGAGTTGATACACTGCTGTGGTAGATACATTTCGGATAACAACGACACTGCGGTTTTTATAAATTAGCAAAAAATTTGTGAAACATACTTTGGTATGTAAAAATTATATCATACTGTAGTATATATCAAATATTAGACAAGCTAGACTTGGTATATCGATATAGTATATGTATAAAGTAAAGTTAACCAGACTTTGAGTCTCGCTATAGTATATGAATAAAGTAAAGTTAACCAGACTTGGTGTCTCGCTATAGTATATGTATAAAGTAAAGTTAACCAGACTTGGTGTCTCGCTATAGTATATGTATAAAGTAAAGTTAACCAGGCTTGGTGTCTCGCTATAGTATATGTATAAAGTAAAGTTAACCAGACTTGGTGTCTCGCTATAGTATAAGTATAAAGTAAAGTTAACCAGACTTGGTATGACAGTCAGTATACAATTTGTATATTTAGTGTTAAATCAACCAGACTTTGTTGACTTTCATAGTATATAGGTGAAATGTTAAGTGAACTTGGTATGACATGCCTCTATAGTATACTATTATGTTAACTAAAACTGGCTTGACATACTGTTTTAGTATTTATACAAATGTTTAACTTTAAGATACGAATGTTAAGTTAACAAGGCTTGATTTACTACACTATCGCGTACAAATGTCGTAACGTAAATCTAACCAAATGGTACTCCACACTGTTGTATATAACATCTGTCAGACCACTACTGTCAAAACGATGCACCAGAAACACATCACACACGTGGAGAATTTATACCACGCGTGCCTAGCGTACAGGGAGGCTACCTAGAGGTATGTTACAGCTCTACTTCACATCTACAACTGTGAAGGAACACAGAATGAAACCTATTGCTAGAAATATCTCTCGAGATGAAAAATTCGTGAAAGGTTTAACACACAAACAAGTACAGACCTTGCTTGATCCATCTGCGTACTTGTCGGACATTATCTGGAACATGAAAGACTTATTGGATTTTCCGGATTCTCTGAAGATAAACTCTATCTCCTCTCGTGAGGTGTTTAAATCGTTTAGAAGGCGGAAATCTCTCAAACCCGAAAGTGTTAAGATTGATTGTCTTAATCGTCTCTTTCTGAACTTCTTCTGGGTGGAGAAACTTTTACATGTATCGATGGGAATACATTATTCCAATTACTGATTGATAACATATGGGTGTTGGCTTCAAAGTGGTATTCTGTTATGTCAGACTTTAAAACAGTGCTATTATTTTGAACGTCTTGAATAAATTTTTGATTTTCACAACAGAAAATGCATTTTTCTTCAACATTACAGTTCTACTCTTAGTTTAGGAACCGTTTGAGGGGTAATTTTATTTTAGCGTTTTTCGCGCTGAAACTACTGCTCTAGGATATGATTGCGATAACTTCAGTTTTTATATGTTGTTTAATTAACAATCATTAGTGTTACTGTGAATGCACGAATATATGACAAGTGTATTTCAAAACGTGATCTAGTGATAAAATTACATCGCGCTAGTAGTGTGCAGTCACAACCCATAATGTATACAATACATAGGTCTGGGTTTTGTTTTCAAAGGGTGAATGACCGATAACATGATGTGGGACAATTAGAGTGGTCAAATCAAAACAAAAGGCAGATAAAATGCTTATCATACGTATGACAGGTTGATAATTCAGAAACCACCATCATATTCCGCAAGTTTTGTAGCGGATCTATGACTTCTGTGAAACCATCTTGACAGGCCATCACATCAAGCTCGAATGAATTTCTCCTGGTCTGGTTTCCAGGTTTAATTAATGTCAGCATGTGAATTAACCATGACTGTCTGTTAGAAATAGCTATTTGTAACGTCCGAAAATGTCTGTCTGAAGATGCATCTGTACAAAAATAATTAGTATTGTAAAAGAAACGACAATTAGTCATGTTTTAAATATGCTCTTTCGAAAAAAGAAACTGACAAAGAATAGAACGTAATAATGTTAATGATAAAAAATATTCAGTCATTCCTTTATTTGGAAAACATGCTGAGTGAAATGATGTGTAATACACAGAAAGGGTAATTAAGAGTTATTTAAAGATATGGAATAGGGACACAGTTATTAGCTGCAATCCAAATGCAGATAAAGTTTGGTGCTGTAACTCGGCGTTTGCCAAACAGGCTTTGGCAGGTGTTAAATGCCAAATAGTTATATTGTAATTGCACGTGTGGCGATTGCACGCATGTATGTTGTAGAATTTCTCCTTGTAATAAATATGATTCAGAATATAAACCTAGTTTCAATGTTACAAAATAGTTAAAGCATTCATCGAGGAACAGGAAAGGAGATTAAATGTTTCTATTTATTTTCATATCGATACAAGTATCATACAATACAAGTCATTGGTGGAACTTTTAAACTATAAATCTTCAACAGGGTTGTGTATTTGTCTTTGTAACACAATCGATATACATTTTAGTCCAAACAATTTGCAAGCTATGTAACCTCTAATGCTCATAAATGATTAGATATATATATATTGCGATATTTTTATTACTTTTTCCTTCTTTAGAATCTACCCTTAACTCTATACCTACTTTTGTATTTGTGCCTAATTTTGGGACTCTCTTACACCTCTTTAGTCCCTTATAGACATTTGTTATTAATCTACTCTCTTTCTAGAATAGTACCATGCCTGTTTCCCATATTCGGCGTTAAAACGTCGCATTCACTTCGACATTGTCCCCCGATATCTCGATTTCTGCTGTCACAACATAAAGTTATAGAGATGCACGTTACTGAAGACTGGAGATGTTTAACGATCAACATCACTTAATGTTCTTTTCACTTTGCGACATGAAGTTAGCTCTGTTGAGTGCTTGATAGTGCCATGGCTGTATTTAATGGTTTCTTCGCTATGAACTTGGCTCTCATTTGAGATCATGATTTATAACTTACTCGGATTGACTAATATTTGAATGACGGGTGTCCTTGAAGGAGAAGGCGTTTAACTATCCGGAACTATCATCTATCCTCAGTTGTCAGAACATCAAAAGTTGTTTTCAATTCTTAACCGTAATCACTTCTGTATTGCAGGTTTGACCCCTCTTCACCAAGCAGTATTGGATGGTAACATGATGGCTGTTCGTCTGCTCATTGAACATGGCGCCAATGTTAACAAACAAGACGAAGACAGTTGGTCTCCCTTACACGCGGCTTGCGCTGAAGGGCACGCCGATATTGCCAAGTAAGACACAACATGATACCCTTGCCTGGCAGGTTTCTGTTTCATGAAGTTTTGGGGATGTATTACAAATAGAGATACAATATTTCGGTCAGTATCATCAGCATTCAGCGAACTTCAGAAGCATATTGACTCTTGGTCTTGAAATGCAATCCTATACAAAATACGTCAATAAAGGAAGTCCTATTCAATACAGGTACGATTTCCGGGATTCAAAGACATCAGGTTGTGGTAAAAAAAAACCCACTTGTAGCATGTCAGAAACTGAAATATCAGAACTTCCTTAAAATTTGATTTTTCAAAGTGGACAACTTGAAATTATTTTGAAAACTAATTTCGTTTGGTTTTTAACCTGTTTCTGCCATATTTAAAATCACATGAACAGATGTTCTGTATTAATCTGATATTTTTTTTATTTTCAGGTTACTTCTACAGCACGGAGCAATGAAGGACCTTTTGACCGAAGACGGGGAGCGGCCCCTAGATCTTGTAGAACCAACAGACTTCCCAACAATTAAAGTAATGTTAGGGCAGAGTAAAGGGAATGCCTCTCCACCACCCCCGGACCTGGGATCAGACGAAAGTGAAGAGGATTCGGACGATGACAAGTAGTATCTTATCAAGTGCTGTGTGGAAATGTGCTGGTTCGAGGATGATAAAAGATTCTAGTGCCGCAAGCAGAATGCATTCAACGAATTTTCACAATGTAATGTGTTTTGAAAACGAAAATAAATGGCAGACAGCAATAGCCGGAGGATAATTGATGACAAACCGAGTTTTAAATTAGAAAAGGAACGGATATCTCGCCAGTGTTCGTGTTGTATAGGGTTAAAGGAAGAGAGGTCGATTTCCTGTCGTGAATCATTTGTCAAATCACTCGTACCTATAATGAATGTAAGTGTGGAAGGAACGAAAGAGCATGCTGCGTGTTTGTCCCTACATACGCCCATTAGAGTCAACTTCTCCCAGCATCTCTAAACAATCAGTACTCAGGGTTGAACATCCGGTAAAACCATTCAATGCTAATATCATATCCGGGAAAAAGGTCAACGGGGAGGACAGTGCAGATAGATATGTAGCTACCTAGTGGTCTGCCATCGACTTGGGATCTTACTTCGTGAAAAGACGTACACCCCGGATATAACAGGATTACAGTAAACAAAACAGGCATAAATAGCGTGATTATCATTTCATATCTTCATAATATTCTATAAACCGACTAACGACTTGGGAAACTATTTCATACAACTGTTTTCTATCAGATTAACATGTAAATGACAAAAGCTTGGTCAACACAATAAATGTCATATTTTTTCTCTTTTTTTTTATACAATAATACATATTTTTAGTCAGTGTTTCACATTTCCACGAACTGACCGAGACAGCTGATGTCTAACCCACACCTGATATTGTACATTTGTGTGCTAGCCATTACACAGAGTGTGTTTGTATAAACGTTTACAAATATAAATGTTATTGAAACGTTCTTTAAATGTTTGCCTTGTTTTTTGTGACTCAAAACATTTCTGCTGATACAAGCTTGAACAACACTGCGATTCATGGTATTTCCCGGTCGCTCTATAGTGAATTCTGAGGAATTGTTATCAGTAAATTGGAAAAAAGATAACATGATATATTGTACAATGGATACACGGAAATTAGTAAAACGATAACATCATCGGCTGCGAATCTTATCGGTGTGCCATCGAAATACAGACGGCATTGGGAATTAAAGGGAAGTAACTCTATTTAATAGATCACCTTGGATTCGAGAGAATTAAAAAACATACATGTGCATTTCTCATCAATTCAGTCCGGCAATGCAAAAAATCAAAAAGAAATATTTTCCTGTCATTTATGATGATAATGTCTTCTCCATGGTTGTACAGTAGACGAACATAATGCGAAAATCACATTTAAATATGAATGCAAAGGTACATCTGCATAACTCTGCAGTCTCCCCAGTGTTAATTAGACACTGATATGAAGGGTCAAAGTTTCCAGAAAGGAGAACGTCTGTATATTCTGACCTGGAAACAAGTCAAGGACTCGTGTGATGCAATCTAGGGTATCAGCTTATGTTGCGTTTAAAGAAAAGACAAACACATGGGGGTGGTTCTTAATATCATGCATGTAATTCGCTGAAGTACATTACGTGGGTTCAATTGATACCGCAGCGCTAAACACAGATACATACGGAAATGGAACTGCGTCAGATAGCTAGTTATTCCTTCCCTGTCTCTTCAATGATTCTAGGGGACGAAAGTATAGATGTCCAACAGGGAAAAGGCTAAAACCAAACGATGATTCGAGGACAACAACAATATTTGTAAATTACTAATAACGCATGACCCTTCAATCCATGAGTGACACTTTATTAACTGTCAAAATAATACATACTTGTCAAAAAGTCAAAATATATAACGTTGAAGAAAGTATATATCAACAAAATATTAACACGGTATCCTTTAAAAGTTATAAAATAAAATGTTAAAGGTCAGTTAATAGGAAAGGGAAAGTACCTTCTGCTTCAGCGACAACACACAGTCCAGGTCAAATAGAACTAATGCCATGTTCTCAAAAAGAGATCCGAGTAAGCATGTACGAAACTACCAGACACAATAGTGCAATAACATACAGTTGTTTTTGCTTCTAAACACAGTCAGTGATGCTAAGGACCCACGGTGTTGAAACCTAAGACATAGGCGACCGTTGAAAATTAAAAAAAAAAAGTCGATGACGCACAAATCCCATTATTTGATAAATTTAAATTTTGGACAATTTCAAAAGAATGTCACCTAGCCGGCACATGCATACATTTCATGAATCAAAGGAGGTGGGTGATACAGGGGTGTTAATATCATAAAAATAGATTCAAATAATTACCTTCGTTAAACCTCTGAACGACAAGCTGTCCCTAGGTATTCGATGAAAAAATCCATTAAGTGCCCTTGATTTCAGATTTATGTGATTTTTTATGACCAACAAGCTGTTGCTATGTTTATCATCGCCGTCCAAAAGCGATCAGAGTAAACACTGTCTGTAAGTTTTGCTTTTACTGACGACGTCAGCGGTTGTTAGGGACGGTATACATTCTGATCTCCCAGAGTTACTGCCCTTCGTTTCACACTGCCAGTAGATAGTATATAGCGACCAGAAGGATCTTGGTGCCCACCAGTGTTTGGTCTTTATATGCTTGGGTCTTTTCCTTTCTTTTCTCTTTTGTTTTCGCTCTTAATGATAAGATATTTGAACATTCCTTTGCAGAAATATAATAATCTTTACCTGCCAAATCCCAAATGGCCGTCTGGAAGCCATTTTGTTTCTTTTAATCAGTCCCAAAATCAAACGAGCACAAGGAGAGAATAAAGGAGACATACATATGAAAGTTGAGAGACCTTTATTCAGTACTTCTTAAGAAACAGCAATAACAAGCTTTACCAGGCAAAATCCAAGATGGTTGCCTGTGATCATTCCCAAACTCAAACAAGCACTAGGGGACCTAAACGAGCATATACATGAAATTTGAGAAAGATCTATAGAGTACTTCTCAATAAATAATGATAACAATCTTTCGAAGTCAAAATACAAAATGGCCGCTTGTGGCTCATTTTGTTTTTTTCTGACCAGTACCGAAATCAAACAGGCACAACTAGGGCTCAAGAAAAACATACACAACGGGCACTACTAGGGACGAAGGGGAGCCTACATTTGAAATTTCAGAAAGATCCATCCTGTACTTCTCAAGAAAGAGTGATAACATCTGATGATGGTGGGGTAATAAGCTTGACAGCTAATGTACAGGCACCTGTATCTGGAACGTAAACAGCACAAGCAAAAACCCAGTCCACTATACATCATATATTTGTATTATGCTATATTATGGACTGGGATTTTGTTTGTGTTGTTTACGTTCCAGATAGAGGTGTCAGTGGTCGATGGGTGCCGCCGAGAATGGACGGCGTATGGTTGGTACTATGACAAATGCAGAGGCAGTAGTTAATCATATTGTTACCTTTACTAGTAATGGATAAAAGGATGACAAGAAGAATCCTGAATGCAAGGAAACGGAAAGTAGTAATAGTTATGGCAGGATTCAATACTGATGAACATCCATCGTAAAAAGATATCCCGGTATCACTATTTTGATTTCTTTTTTAAAATTAGAATCGAATGAAAATGAAACAATGTATTCAGGGGTTAAAATCTTTCAAAATGACAAAGAAATTGCAGATCGACTTTCCCAACATTACATATGCAACCAGGTGTATACAACATGAAATTACCATTAAATTGTACACGGAATATAGAAGTTTTCTACCTTTATATCAACACTGTTGTATTTTTCTTTCTGTCTACTTTTTATTATTATTAAGTATTAGCTTAATTTCTTAGTGCCTTCTATAAAAGTCGTTATCTAAGGTTTCTGCTTGAAATGTATAGAGTATCTGAATGTTGGGCGAAAAGTTTTAGACAGCCAGTACCAAGAAGGCAATGCTAAAAATATCTACAAGTTATGAATAATATTATCGTCTACCACTTCGTCCGAACCAGTGAGAAACAGTCCCGAACATTTACCGACCAATGAGTGAATTGTTTTGCGACTTTTTTGAATGCGAAAAATTCCTTCTATAGAACAATCAAGCCAATGTTCAGGAAGTTCCCTTCTTGTGTCTATAGAGGCTGATCAGAACGACGGTGAGTTCCCTGTAGAGCAATGAAAATACAGGATCTTATGAGAAGAATGTTATTTGCAATACATACCAATTAAAAAAACTAAGGTTTATATTTATATATATACATTCCGATTTTGAATGATATTTGAGACTTCAAACTCCATGACAACACAACACTGATCATTAACAATTTTATTTCTTTCTATGGAAAAAGCAAACAAATACATATAATATTTAAAAATGTGTAAATGAACATGATACACAACATACAGGCAATAATGAACTGCTGAAATCTGGAATGTTTCGAGACATTAGCTGAGGAGTTGTAATAAAACTGACAAAATCTCCAGATTTCAGTAGAATTGTCTAAACTTTATAAAGTGCACTGAATACATATGGCATTTTTATCAAGTAATATCATTGCAGATATTAGAAAAAGTCAGATGTACAAAAAGAGTTTTTGGTAGTTATAGTGATGTTTTGCAAGAAATGAGATATTTCTATGAACTGAACAAAAAGATATATTATCAAATAAAAGGACATTTTCTACAAACTAACTTCCGAACTTAAAGCTTTATCAAAAATAGATTAACAATGACAGAGGGAAAAATTTGAAACAAAAATTACTGTATTAAATTTATATAGGATTTGCAAATGACAGAATAAACGAAATCTAAGAGGGATCATGTCATCCACCATTGTTTGACCTTTATTTGTCCTTTAAAGCTGGATCTTTTCTGCTTCTTCTCACAATATTACTCTAACTATATGACTATGATGGTCGACTGTATTTTTCTCGATCAGTCATGAAATCGACCTACAGATAAAGTCTAAAAATGACCCCTTCAGTACTTACTAAACACAGTGTTAACAAACTTTCATAGTTGAAATAAACAAGGGCTGCTATTTTTCTTTTTCTTTCTTTGATCAGTCCCAAAATCAAAGGGGCAAAAGGTAAGGAAGGATATGTATTAATCACAAAGTCTAATTTCTGTCAAATCAAATTGACTCTCTGCATGATCTTCTATACATAATGCTGTGATATAAACCATTAAGGTGGCATTATAATCTTTCCGTCATGGCAGTTTACATAATCTTCATGCGACATATTCTTCAGTTCAATCTATAAATGAATTATTTCTACAAAATAGCAGTAATCAGACATATTACAATTATTTTTCCTTGAGAAGAAATGAAGTTTACAATGTAAATCAAACATTCATGTACTTTATTTGTACTTAAAAACCAATGTGCTGTTTCATGCTTAACACAAAAATGTCTGTGTTTTGATTAGCCAGGGGCTATGAACTTCTCATAGCCCCTTAACCCTGATATAGCCCCTTAACCCTGATGTTTCAGTCGTAACATACTCACCTTTCATCTAAACTATTAGAGTTAAATTTATTTACAAAAACACAATTAAAAGTTAAAGAGGTCACCTGCCAGACCACGTGGGCTTTCCCCGGCTACTACAATTTCTCCCACAGGCAGATCCCACTTATGCTTACGTCCCAGCCAACAAGAGTGATTTATATAAGTTGAAACAATTTGTTTTGTAATGTTGTTGTAAAATAGAAAATTTCATATTTAATAGACTTTTCATTTCCTTATTATTTTCCTTTCTTATTGAATAAACAATTAAAATGAAAAAGTTGAATCACCAATATATACCGATATCTACATTCACCTATTTTCTGTAAGTATGCATACAAAATGTTCTGATATCTACAAACTCAATTTTTATGTAAGTATGCATTCAACATGTTCAGAAACCTACATACTTAAATTTTGAGTAAGTATGCATACAAAATGTTCTGATATGTACAAACTCCAATTTTCAGCAGGTATGAATACAAAATGTTGTGATATCTACATACTCCAATTTTCAGGAAGTGTACATACACAATGTTTGATATATCTAGCAATATACTCCAATTCTCAGGTATTATACATATAAAATATATACATAACATAATCAATATTAAAAATACATTATGTTAAAAAATCCAAATAAAGAATAATGTAAATAAAACTGAGGAAAATTGTCATCCTAACTCTAAAGAACTACAGCAGCTTTCATGGCTCAAACAGGAAGGCAAGTTAAGCACTGATCCAGGTGAGGAAGACAACATACTTATCAAACACTTTCTATCAGTCTTTTCAGAACCAGACAAGACCACTGCACAAGATTTAAAAAGTGAATAGTAATAAAGAATAGCAAGTCATCCTATTCCACTGTGGAGGACATTAAGATGAAACCTCAGGGTATTTCCAACACTAGTGAAGTGCCCACTGACTTGCGAACAGCATGTTTATCTTCAGCACATTTCCTGTGTTGTCAAAATTACCTTAAAACTCTGTTCTGTTTTGTTTCTATTCTACATTAGTGATATGTCAGAATGCTTAAACTCTGCCACTGGCCTCTTTTCTGGTGTCTGGAAATCATATTTTTCAGACAATATTAACTAAAGAGAAAAAATATAATGAAAGGCAGCATGCTTTGTCATTAACAAACACAGACACGCCTCAAATGTCAGTGACATACCAGACAAATTTAAACTAGAGAAACTTTCAGACCGTACAACTGACACATGCTTTGTGTTAATGTACAAGATCATAAACAGCCCAGTTGCCATCCCAAAACAGACAGAAGTGTCAGTCAAGAAACACACAGACTTCATGCTATCACGGTTCATCCTGTAGCCCTCAATCTCACCAACAAAACCCCCACTCTCCTAGAACAAATAGAAACTGGAATAGTCTCCCCTTGAACACTGCAGAGAGTGGTTCATCTACAAAATACTAAAAAATCACATATCACACAAACATACTCTTTATCAAATTAAGTATGTGTTATTCTCTTCAGTATATTGAAGGCAGACTTTGACATAAGTTCAATATGAACAATAAAGAACCATTACGCTTCTTTCTCAAAGGAGCCAAATCAAAATTACCCATTTGACATATACAATTATGTAAATCAATTACTATGATTATGCAAGACTAACAAGTATAACTGGTTACATAAAACAATTATTTCCGAGTAATATTATTACACAAAATGAATAAGTGATGTATAGATGTTAATATTCGCGGCAGATTTAAATTTTTTTATATCCACAATCATCGAAGATCACGCAATATTAAATACCAAGGAAACAGCAGAGAATCAAAATGTAATGAAATCTCTGTTATATGCCTGTATACAAGGACACCAGTATGTAGACAAACACAAAATTTATTCCTCATGAAAAAAACTGGAACTGTGAAATACTAGACCCGAGAAGTTAAACCACTATACACATCACGACTGCTAAAAAATTATCATTTTGCTGCATAAGGTCATGAATTGAGTCATAATCAATGTGAACTATAAGAAAAGTACCCATAATACTCCTATATATATTGCACATTACAGAAATCATATGCTAGTACTACCAGTATATAGCAAGTTAATAACATAACCCCAGACTTAAGTCATTATGCTTAAAAAAGGACACTGGCAGAGTAAAATAAGTTTGTGTCTGGGATGTTGCTTAGAAACCATCATTCAAACTTATTACAAATATTTGTTTATCCACAAAGAGGTACATGGTCAATATTGTTTAAATTAAATCAAATTTTTAATGAACATCAAAAACTTAATAAATTTGAAAAAAAAACCTTTATCATGAATATTGATAATAAAATTTGTCCAAATGAATTGACAAGTTTATTTTCAGTAAATGTGTATGTACATTTGTGTATACCACCATTAACACAAAACAAAATCTCCATCCTGGTACATGTATCATGGAAAGTCATGAACCAGGATGTCTGGGCTTAAAATGTTGTACATATCAAGCCATTGATTTCCTGAGAACTTGTAAGATTGTGTAGAAGAATACCAAAATACCAACAGAAATATAAAATATATCTTTCGACATTATGTATCGTATGAATTTGCATAGTCTGGGTATATCAAAGAATGGTAGTAAGATTCAATTAAATCAAATTAAAAAATTGGTTAAGACACTGAAATCTTAAAATCACAACAATACCAGATAACAAACCAAATTTTAATAAGTTTTATTAAGATTTATAAAATTGCAAATTTTCATTAGTTTGGTGGGTACGTATTTTGTATTTTAATAAATTAATTTGACTTGTAATCAATAAACTGCTACCTGACAAGAACTCTAACATTAATTCAATATGCTGATGAAAAGGTAACGTTTTGATCTAGAAACTGGCAAATCCTCTAATTCTGGTCTGAAATCATTTTTCAAAGAAAATTCCACTGTAAGCAAAATTTGGTACATCATTAACTTCATATAGAAATGAAAGTCCATTGACAGCAAAGTTAATTAATCTAGGAATTCATGAAAAGAGTTCTTCATTTTTATCTGGATTTAAAGGGCTTTGTTGGATGGCTGATCTTAAATTGTGTGTCGATTTCAAATCATCCTTCTACTGACAGTTACATATTCAGTGATATCACAAGGAAGTAAAAATGTGTTAACAGATGTAACATATATGTATAGTGAATCTTCAACACAAATGTCGTAAAAATACTCTTTGAAGTAAGGATGGCACATGCAGAGCATCTAAACATTGCTTCAGGCAAAGGATCTGTCAAGTTAAGGACCCAACAAAGTCAGAAAAACTGATACCAAGTAATGCCATTTTACTACAGAATTTTAAACTTTCTGTTTCACATTTCATTTTTATCACATATTTATTCTCACATTCTTTATTATTCTCTTTCTTGACTGTGACAAATAATACATATGTTTTTACAGCATATTCTAACACTTCTTTCCTTCATCTGACTTCGAGAATTTTTTTTTTTACAACCAACTTCTGAATACTGACAACCCAACAATTTAAGTATTGTAAAGTACACAAATTAAGAAGTCACATAAATCCACCGGAAATAATTCACATACCCACTGGCGTTATATCTGTTTTCATATCTAATTCCAAAGAGAAACCAATTTTGAAATTATTTATACAGAGGTTTGGTTAAAATTCCTTTCATGTACATAAATTTTTCTTTTTGATATTTCAAATAATGGCTTAAGTCTCTGTGCTGGTTGTAAACTGACTACTGCATTTGTCTGTTTTTCTGATGTCAACTTCAAACAATACCTTTGACCACTATGTACGTATCAGGAGATCTCCATGATATATTTGTAGTTGTAATTTAATGAACAATTATCAATTTTTACCATCTATGCTATTTAACTATCTTTGTCAGTTGTGAAGAAAGTAAAAGACTTATGAGAACCATTGGTTTTGAAAGTGAAAATCTTGTATCACATTTGTGAACCAGTCTGTTTGTTGTCTTTAGGAATGGCATGAATTAAAAGTGAATCAACATACCAGAAGCATCACTTTTACTTCCTCAATAAAATTTTCATAGCATGCTACTTTTAAAATTTTTCAATACAACAAAAACTCCTATCAATATGCCTCAAAATATCTAAAATCATTTGGAACAAATCTGAGTATGTTACACACTCACCCCGCCCCTATTTCATCCCTACCAGAACATCAGTTTGACCTATGCCTTGTCTTCTAACTCGGCTTCTTGTTTACGATGTGCATTCACATGATGATTGACATGTACAATTTCCCACTTTTTCATCCAAGGTCCCTGTATGGTAACGTCGAATTCATCACCCTCCTGTAAATACACAATATATGGCATTTACATAAACTTATACAACTAATACACACAGTATGGTAGATAGTTTGTACTCACACAGCATCGGCGAGTATTAGATTGTATTTATAATGCAGTGATACAGAAGGGTTTCATACACCAGGTACAGACACTGTGATTGCAGTGATACACAACGGTATATTATACCAGGTACAGACACTGTGATTGCAGTGATACACAATGGTATATTATACCAGGTACAGACATTGTGATTGCAGTGATACACAATGGTATATTATACCAGGTACAGACACTGTGATTGCAGTGATACACAATGGTATATTATACCAGGTACAGACACTGTGATTGCAATGATACACAATGGTATATTATACCAGGTACAGACACTGTGATTGCAGTGATACACAATGGTATATTATACCAGGTACAGACACTGTGACTGCAGTGATACACAATGGTATATTATACCAGGTACAGACATTGTGATTGCAGTGATACACAATGGTATATTATACCAGGTACAGATACTGTGATTGCAGTGATACAAAATGGTATATTATACCAGGTACAGACACTGTGATTGCAGTGATACACAATGGTATATTACACCAGGTACAGACACTGTGATTGCAGTGATACACAATGGTATATTACACCAGGTACAGATACTGTGATTGCAGTGATACACAATGGTATATTACACCAGGTACAGACACTGTGATTGCAGTGATACACAACAGTATATTACACCAGGTACAAACATTGTGATTGCAGTGATACACAATGGTATATTATACCAGGTACAGATACTGTGATTGCAGTGATACACAACAGTATATTACACCAGGTACAAACATTGTGATTGCAGTGATACATAACGGTGTAATATACCAGGTACAGACACTGTAATTTCCTTTATTTACAATTTCACAAACTGGGAGAGGATAATGATTGTTAAAAGTCATTCAGGACTTGGCAAAGCTTTTGTCTGATAAACAAATAAATTCTTCGGCCATAGAATTGAAAACGTGAGGGTCTACACTGCAAGGTTAGTGATTTATTTTTCCCTTCTGCAAATCAATAAATATAATTTCCTCTGTGACTGGTACATAAGTATTTCCCATTACAGATCACTATCCAAGTATAGAGTGTCACAGTAGTGAGAAATCTTCAGATACATGTATAAGTAGGTAAATATTTACACATATGAGATATATTTCATTCAGTAGAAATCAATTTAGACCGATTAACTATCTGACCTAGAGTTACAGGAAACACTTTAGACAGTATTATTTGCTGGGTTTATTAGCATTGATCATCCTGTCAACAGTCAGGGTGACAGTCTAAGTCATTTTGAGGCAGGATCTCCTGGTCATAACTTGTGGCTATCTCACTGAACACCATAGGCCGGTCACATATTATCAACAAAACAATTAATGTTAATTTCTTGCTCAAGAACACTGCCACAACAGTAGAGGATGATTCTTGATCTCAGCTGGAGAGACTTTTTTAAGAAAGGGCGTCCTGTTTCTGTCACACTAGCAATCAAACTTTGCCAAATCAATACTAACCTGACCAGTGACAGCTTTCTGAGCCTTTAAATGTCTGTTTGAGGCATTAAACTCCTCCCAATTAATCTTCATATTTGGGTCTTTGGAGGACCTCATTAGTATTCCTTCCTTGATACCATAAAATCCAACAGGCTCCGAAGGTCTTTGCCATCTTAAATCAAAACTCCATCTGATCTGTTTGGACATGTTTGGAAGGCTGAAACAGACGTTTGAAAAATCTAGAATTTATATAAAACTGTATCCACCAGATTTAATTCAAATATTCATTCTTAAGACAAAACAAGTTCCCATTTTTTAAGTAGACCAATTTTATACCATATATATGTAGTTGCTTTTATTCTTGCTATATTCAGGGTGAAATGAAATACTACTAAGTAAAATACCTGTAAAATATGACACCCTGTGAAGACAAGGTTTCCATGAGATATCACTTATACACATACCTGATCAAATAGTATTCATTAATAACCAGACATCATCAGAACAAATTACATAACTTTTATATCAGAGTACAGATTTAGCACCATTGACTTCTGAAAGTCTAGTTGTAAGGCCTTTATCATGTCTCTGTCTGCTGAAAGTTTAGTAATGGGAAACATGAGCTTTGCTTTGGTTTGATGAATGAAAACTTTAGATTAATGTTCTCGCCAGTGAGCTCTTGACCATTTCCCGGTTGCCTTCGTACTCTGACTTTAAGTGAGATTTAGATACATAGGAATTAATCTGAATTTAAAACAAAATTTCTTTTAGGGAAAGTAGCACTCTTTTAGAAAGTCAATTTGTATTCAGCTGTAAAATGGAGGAAAAAAACCACAGATGAGTCACCTTACCTTCTGTGTGGAATGATATTGTTGAAGAGAAGCATCCCTCCATATGGAATAGGGCAGACCTCTATGTCGGTATCAACATCTATGTCTGGGGACAAAACATAAAGATTTGCTACACTTATGATCAGACAAAAACAAAACAGAATGATAAAAACAACATGCTTATAGGCCCATAAATACATGTACAAATGTAATGATGTTACCCCTTACCCTCATCAGGTGCATGCATTGTAATATCATCTTGAAAATTTTACTTAACATAGGCTTATCTCCCTTTGCATGAAATCAATTTTATGCAAGTTTCAAACAAATACATAGAGTTATGGAGAGTCTAATAGACTGACATTAAATGAACACTGCCTAATAAGGCAAACTAACCTAACTTTTTCTTCATTTCCTCCTCTTCAAGCATCACATACCAAGTGCCACCGTGGCAACATTGGTGAGTGGCTATCTTACCAGTCTTGTGGCCTTGGCTTGCAATCTACAAACAGAATCATAACACAATAAATGCAATTGTTGTTAAACTCCATCATTCAAATATTAAATATGATGATTTACTTTGTAGAATTCTTTGGTTGAAAAATCATATATTTCTAAATCATTTGTGATTATAGTAAATACTACTTTTGACAAATCCGTTACAAAACTCAATGAGTGAAAAGAATGATTATAAAAAATAAATAAGTTTGAATATGAAGCATAATTTAAATACATCAAAACAATTCAAAAACTAAGTAACGATTAAAGACAGGGCTGGTACCTGCATACAACCATTGTTTTCGTTTGTGTCCAGCAAGGGAATCCAGGCAGTGGGCTGCAGTACAGTGTAGGAACTGTTGTCAAGGTAACCAACATCTGTAGTCAAAAAAAACAGTCACATATACATGATCAGTTTGTTTTACAATCTACACATCGCAGATCTTTGTATGTGTACACGATCAGTTGGTTTTACAATGTACACATCACAGATCTTTGTATGTGTACACGATCAGTTGGTTTTACAACTACACATCACAGATCTTTGTATGTGTGAACGAGATAGTGCACGAAACTACCAATCAAAACTTGGAACCAAAGGGTACTTTCCAAGAAATAGCAGTAACAAACTTTTACATTCAAAATATTTCCATTACAACAGTTCTTTAGAGCCCAGCATAATCTAGTCCATAAAAAACAACCTACCAGGCCCCACTTGTATAAAACATCTCAACTTGAGATTTCCTCAAGCCCAAATTTTCCTCAGCTAATATCTCCTTGAAAATATCTTGTATGAAAATTCCTCAAGGAATTTCAGGACATCCTAGCCGATGACTTCCTCTTGTTCCTTGAGAAAATTTTATACAAGCCTTTTTGAGGAGATATCAGCTGAGGAAAATCTCGACTTGAGGAAATCTCAAGCTGAGATGTTTTATACAAGTGGTGCCAGGTATTTAACTGTAAACCCACCAAACTTTCACACTTGACCTCCATTAACAAATGTTCTCAAGTTAAACTTGTTTCTAATTTTTGATCCCTCTAACCTTGATGCCATGGTACTGTGGTGGCTTCATTCTGAGGTGTCTTTGTGCGGAGGTTCCACACTGGATGTCCGATGATGTCCGGACCAATCAGCTGTTCTATAACATTCAGCAGTCTCTCATTGGACCACAGTTGTTGGATTTCCTGTAAATATCAATGACAAACCTGTCAGGGACAAAGCTTGGTACTGCTGTAACATCTTAACCTTTAGAAAATGAAACATCATTCTTATACTGTTTTACTGATGTTCATGTAACCAACTGGTACTTTGTGTTTTTCAATTCCTTTTAAAAGAGAAGATTCTGTGGACAAAAGACCTAAGAGGAGAGAAACTTTCTTGTAAGAGTGGGTTTTTGATACCAACTTCCATGCTTCCACATGTCTTTACCAGCAAGTTAGCTGTCTACACCCATTGACTACACAGGCAGTTAGACAAAGTATGAACGGACTTCAGTAATATCTTAATAACCCAACTGATATAGATATAACATTTGACAGGGATAAAAATATCAGCTGTAGACAGATAATCACTGCTTTAAAATCAGGGATCACTGATTTAGATTTAAGGTTTCTGAAATTCTTCTCTCACCAAAGGCATGGATCCTAGCTTGTGGAGTATAATGTTCGCTCCTGGAAACTCCTTCTCAATAATGCTCAGCCTCTCAAAAAAACCATGTTCATTGTAAAGTTCTGAAATAAACAAGGGAAGCCATTTTGCAAGTACTTACACAAATAAACAGTCACTTGAAATTTTTAAAAATAATTTTAAAGTGAAATTTGAAAAAAAAACAGTCATAAAAAAAAATTCAACATCATGTGAAGTTTAGTAAACCCAAACTGCCACTAAATTATTAGTTACAAACATATCAACCAATTAAAATTATGTATGAAGTACTACATGTACTTAAAATACATGAACTCTAATTAGGGCAACTACATGGCACACACCGCTAACTAGTGTAAGTGGAACACAAAGATATCATATCATGTTAATTTGTTACTTTTGATAATGGTTGGTTAATTTTTCATAACTTTCATTTCAAAAGTTTAAAATCTATAGAATGAAAGCTAACTTTGCAAAATCTTATTTCTATTGTTCATTTTTCTGAACTTTTGAAAATATTTTGCGACAATTATCCAATGAATTTCATAAATATGCACCGAACAGGATTCATACAGGCAATAATTCTGCAACTGACCAACCAAAGGATGCAATGCACTACTCAACTGCTTCCAATATATCAGAGCTCAAGACCTTACTATGACCTTTAATCCTTTGTAATTATGAGGTGAAAACAACATGATTCTGGCTTATCCATCCTAATTTCATTACAAGGATTAAACTATACTAACTTTGTGAACACATCCCTTTTTGCACCTTTACCCCTACCATGTCTGTCCATGATTATCTGTCTATAGTAAAAAGAGTATCTTGAACCCTTACTCTTGATTTTGCACCTTTCCCACTACCGTATCTGTCCATGATTATCTGTCTTTAGTAAAAAGAGTATCTTGAACCCTTACTCTTGATTTTGCCTGCATTATACAACTTGAGAGCCATTTCATCAACAAGTCGTCGGATGGCATCTTTACATGGCTCCAACTCCTCTGGTTTGAAGAAATCCTCCACCACTACAAAGCCCTGTAAAAAGAAAGCATGTGATTTCTAAATATATATCATTATGAGCTCATATTGGATTCTTCTTTCCAAAGAAGCTGTTTTATGAAAGTGAAGACATGTTTATTAGAAATGTTAAAATTTACCTGTAATGTATTTTGAACTACAACTTTTAGTTTTTAAACAATGAAGAATTACTAACAATCTAACTTTGATTTCAGTGACATTTGTACCAGATCATGCGCTAATATCTATCAATCAACGGTTCTGTCAGCATTGCCAATAACATATGGAAGAGACCTTTGTCCTACCTCAGTAAATCTAATTCTGTCCCCTGGAAGGGAAGTTGGTTTGATCATAATAAAGAACTGCCTGATCATGTCTTCTAAGTAAGACCTTGTTCAGGCCTCTGTAAAAAGCATCTGATCTTGTCCTCTGGCAGAACCCTTGAACAAAACTTGGTTAAAAACTGCCTGATCATGTCATTAAGCAGAGGCTTTGAACTGACGGTCAAGAACTGCCTTAAGATGTCTTCTAAAAGGAACCTTGGTCTGACCTTAGTAAGGAACTGCCTGAACATGTCCTTTTGTTCTGACCTTAGTAAGGAACTGTCTGACCATGTCCTCTGGAAGGACTGAAGTCTGACCTTAGTAAGGAACTGCCTGACCATGTCCTCTGGAAGGACTGAAGTCTGACCTTAGTAAGGAACTGCCTGACCAAGTCCTTTTGTTCTGACCTTAGTAAGGAACTGTCTGACCATGTCCTCTGGAAGGACTGAAGTCTGACTTTAGTAAGGAACTGCCTGGACATGCCCTCTGGAAGGACTGAAGTCTGACCTTAGTAAGGAACTGCCTGACCATGTCCTTTTGTTCTGACCTTAGTAAGGAACTGTCTGACCATGTCCTCTGGAAGGACTGAAGTCTGACCTTAGTAAGGAACTGCCTGACCATGTCCTCTGGAAGGACTGAAGTCTGACCTTAGTAAGGAACTGCCTGACCATGTCCTCTGGAAGGACTGAAGTCTGACCTTAGTAAGGAACTGCCTGGCCCCTTGGTCTGACCTTAGTATGGAACTGCCTGATCAAATTCCCTTGGTCTGTCCTTAAAAAAGAACTGCCTAGCCATGTACTCTGAAAGGAACCTTGGTCTGACCTTAGTAAGGAACTATCTGGACATGTCATTTGGAAGGACTGAAGTCTGACCTAAGTAAGGAACTGCCTGGCGATGTCCTCTGGAAGGGACCTTGATCTTACCTCAGTAAAAAACTGCCTGATCAAGTCCCCTTGGTCTGACCTTCGTTAAGGACTGTCTGGCCATGTCTTCTGGAAGGGACCTTGGTCCGACCTTAGTAAGGAAATGCCTGGCCATGTCATCTGGAAGGGACATTGATCTTACCTCAGTAAAAAACTGCTTAATCATGTCCTCTGGAAGTTGTCCAGGCTTCTTCTCTTTTGCCTGTGAAGGCATTGCCTCTAGATTAAACTTCTCAGGATGGGCCTCATCTGTGTCTCCTGGATACCTTTGCGTAGTCATGTTGATGTGTTCTCTGTTTTATTTGAAATAAAATTTTGCTTTTAATTCATGATATGATTTATTTTCAGAACACATTTCCTGCATCTACTTTCTGCATTATCTATGCGATTCTATAAGATTTCTATATATAAATGAAACAGTGGTGGGTCGGTGATCAATCAAACACAACTAAAAATTAGCCTAAAAAACTTGAACAAAAAAAAATCAACAGAAAAAAAAACAAGAATTGATGATGATTTTGAAAAACCAATTTGTAAACAGTTCAAGAGTATTCGTAAAATTTTGACTTTACAACATGGAACTTGGAACTTTCATATTTCATAATCTAACCTAACCAGGCAGTAGTCGTTAAATTGTTATTAGTGTTCAATATTAAAAAGTAAGGAAATACGGCCGCAAATTAACAAAATGCAGATTACTCAAAATAATGGATGGCACACCTGACAATACAAATTCATTTTCTACAAAATGCAATTCTGTACTTAATTTAGAAAACAGATTACAATCGATAATTGAAAAATTTTTTAATTTTCAATTATGACAGTGAAACTGTTTCATCACTAAATTGAAAACACAGCAATTCTACAAGCAATACAAGAGGCGTGATGGGCCTGTTTTGTTTAAATAGTATTTGATGTTTAGAAGCAGAAAAACAGCAGAGAAAGAAAATCAAACGCCATAGCCACAATACCTCAAACATCAAAGGAGTGTTACGGGCAATTTACGAAAGAAATGGTCACCATACCCATGTAACAACCCTCCACCATCTTAAAACTGTCACTGCACTCTAAGCAAGGATCAGAATACATCTCGAGGAACATCAAAATACATAGTAACAATGGAAAAGAAAGCATGTACACAAGAAACACCACAAAGTGCCATCGCAGATCATGCAATATTTACAATACAACCATATCATGGGAAAGATCAAAGAATTGATTTTTAATGAGAGGGGAAAGGTGAATCGGAGCCAATTATTCAATGTCAAAATTGCAGAAATGATTAATTGTTTCAATTCAGGAATAGCTCAGATATCTCAGAAATGCTGAGATAGTTTAGAGCTTGCAGCAGTTTTTAAAGGCTCTGATTAGAGGCATTTACAAAGCATTGACTTTAACAAATTTAATTTATTTCAATTACAAGAAACAATGTAAGGATTACACCTTGTGCAGCTGACCGATGATGTCAGGTAACAAATCAGCCAATCAGAGGCCTCTATCAATGTTATTAGAACTATTGAAGTATAGTTTATTAATTTGTAATGAATAAAGAAATACTTGAAAACATATCCTGTCAACTGTGTAAAATACGTGAAAAATTATGAAACCTATGATGGCAATGTTATAAATGTAAAATGAGTGTAGCAGAAGTTCATTTTCACCATCTGTATTAATTATGTAATAATCATCATTATCTCCCCTTTTCTTACAGATACACACCTGTTACCAAAGCTGCCCGCATGTACAGCCCTTTTTATGGCCAGGTAATCATGATTAACCATGAACAGGTATTAAAGGTGTGCAGTTGACTGTGGAAGCAAGTGATTTATTACCAATACTTTTAAAAAAAACAATTGCGAGGTATGTGGAGTATGAGGCGACTTTTTACCCTCACTTTTCCGTAGTGAGAGGTTTGATATATGCTTTAAGAGTGTGGTCATTGGAGGGCTCACTGTGTAGTCTTACAAAAGAACGTAACTTGTACTTGTTAATCAATATTAAAACCCGACCTCTTCCCGCAATGTTTTCAAGTTTTTTTCGACTTCGGTTCGGCAAAGATCTAGATCGTAAATGGATATATGTTTACAAAAAATGAATATGCTATCAACAGCTTTTATATCAATACAAACGTCTAGAGTATTTCTTAGCTAAGTCCATTTCGACTTTATAGATATAAATAGATCACATTTTCTCTCCGCTATTTTGTGAATGCTGCGTAGTCTATAAATGGGGCTAGGGCTAGTGTCAGCTGGTCAACTACTTCGCAATAGTAACTTTGACAGTCTTAAAGAGCTTCGATGTTCAGTGTGTCACTTACGGATGGTCAAAAATACAGTCCTTCAGGCTATGCAGCACCGACAACTACGGCTGGCGTCAACCCTAACCGCAACAGCTTAAGTTCGAGTATAGTGTTATGGGGTAACGCAGGCATGCGCACTGACGTCAAAACAAGCCGGTTATAGGATGTCTCAGAATTGACACATAGTAGTATCCAAAAATATTTTATCGTTAGATAGGCCTGACGTAGTGTAAACTAGACTTGCGCAAGTCATAATAATCTATTAAAAAAACAACACTTTTGATACTTAAAAATAAGATTTTTTCCACCGAAAACGATAGCGGTGATACAAATGATTTGGATATATCCAATTGGAATGATTCCATTGCATTTTACCCACAATCAAGTTTATATAATTGAAAATCCTTATAATTGAATATCATTTAGACGGATTGCATATTCTGGATACGTTGCTTTATCAACACTTGTTACAATTGTTACGGACCTATAGATATATACAGGACTGCAATCTCTACAACTCTGAAAGGGAAACTAATGTACATTTATAAATGTGATCCATTCAAAAATATAATACAGAGTACAGACGGTTGTCGAAGATTTTATTGATATATATATTTTTCATTAAATAAGCAAACATCTCATTTTGGTAAGACCAGTAAAAACACCACGCCAATATATGAAGTTGATTTTATTGATTAATCTTATCAGTTACAGGTTTAACGTCCTCTCGAGGTGTACTCTAAATAATTGTACAGCGGTTACGAAGCGTTTACACTGAATTTTATTGTTTTAGCACAACCATGGAATAAAAATAATGTAGGTAGGTTAACTGTAATTCAATCCAACTTCATTTAAGTGCAACATTTGTTTTCCTTTCATAGATATTTGTTTTGAGAAGTTCATAGGCACATTTATGAGACAATCAAAAACAACATAAGAACTAACATTTTACCAAATTTGTGAAAATAAAAATACAATTATTCTTATGGGGAAAAAAAGAAAGATTTTAAATAATTATATAAGATGTAAATTTCCATTGGACCCAGCCCCTCCGGCCCACTTAGTTCCGCTCTCCCAAAGGATGCTTCTGGGAAAACGTCATTCCTTCAGAGAAAGAAGGGGTTTTCCCCAGAATATTGGGTCCTGTCACTTTGACCCTCTGCAAAATTGGTTTCCCAAGGATGCTTTGGTAAGTTCCTTATCATTCTAATATGTAAAGCGATTTCTCTTTTTTCCCTATTGGAGGCGCGCCCCTTTGCCCCCAAGGTGGTCATACACAATGTTTATACATAACTGAGTAATCTTTACCCAAGGATGCTCAGACCAAATTTATATTAAAAGCAATTATTCGCACAGAAATAGATTATAAAGCTTTTGGTATTACGCCCTGTTCTGTCACCAAACCCACCATTTATTTGAAACCAACTTTCCCCAAGGATACGCCAGACAAAATTTGGGTTAAATTCTGTCATTCCTACATTAGAAGGTTTTTATTCTAAAACTTGCCATTTTCCCCATATTTGGGTCCATTCTTCTAGTCCCCATATATACAAATCTGATTCTCATTTCCCCAGGGATGTTTCCTCTATTTCACCTAATAGTCTCCTCCGTCCGTCTGTCCTTAAGAGGTCACGCCCACCATTCATTGAGAATTGAATCCTCTCAACCCAAATCTGAACAAAAACGTCTTTTTCTATAGAAAAAAAAATGGTTATATATCACTGATTGAGTGACTCCTCTCAGACCCCATGGTAGCCACGGAACCTCCATTTATGCAAAATTAAACCTCATTCCCCAAGGATACTTTTGGGGAAAATCAGGGCAATATACAATCATTCTTACGGAAGAAAGAAATTTTACAGAAGAATGATGTCAATGAATTCGCTCTATTTCTCATCTTAGGCTCTGTCCCTCGGGTCCCAGGGAACCGAGACCCACAGTTTACACAATTTTTTTCCGAACCCCCCCCCCCCTTCCAATGTTTTGAACGATTTAAAAGCGATTTCATACCGGATCCCTTCCCTCTGCCCCCAAGAGAGTCAAATCCATCGTTTATATAAAACCGAGCCCCCTTTACCCTCTTTTACTCATACAGAAGGATTTTTAGAACAGACTATATATCTCCCAATGGTCCCTGCCTCCTCCCCTCCACCCCTGAAATCTCCCTGGGACAAAGACCCTACATGTATACATAATTGATTCTCTTCTCCTAAATGATGAACCTAACCAAATTGGTATAAAATCCCGTCATTCCAACAGAAGAAGAAGAGGATGTTAAACATTAGCCCTATTTCCCATTTTAGGCCCTGTCTACCGGGCCCCAATGGAACGAAACTCACCATTTAAACAAATTTGGATTCCCTTCCTTCGCCCCCTAAAAATGAACGATATTAAAGCAATTTCTCTACTTCTCATATTTTATTTAGTAACGTATGAAAATGACATTTCGCACATGACAATAAAAAGTAACAGTAACAAAAGAATTCTTTGTATAACCTCACATGGACAAAAGATCAACTTTGTTAAATAAATACAGGAGGCCTGGATGGCCAGTATCATTCACTATATATTTATATTATATCGGTTATCACTAGAAATCCTTTCGTTTAACATTAATATGACAACGAATTTCCCATGTTGGGACCTGTCTCTTTGAACCATACATCATACGATGTAAAGTAAATGTAATGCTCTCAAAATATCCCTGTTGCCCCGTATAATTCTAACCCTAGACCAAATTCACGCTGGAATTCTCCAGCAAACGGCATTTTAAAGATGGGAATGATACATGGACCGCCGGACGAACGACGGAATCCATGCTCTTGCATGAATTTAACAGTAGAGTTAGCTAGATATTTAAGAGAACATGATATGTCAACATGTCGACCAATGTTTAAAGAATAGTTCTCCAGTGTTCTAAGTTCACATTAAAACAATGTTACTTACTTTTGCTTTGATTTGGTAATGTTACATTGTCAGTTTAGAAAACTTCTGTTGTAGTATATTTCATGAATTCAGTTCGGGTAGCAGTTTTAAAGAGACGTTCATGTAAATCTACAAAACAATTATGATATTCAGCGCGTGGCTAGAAAAAGAATATTTTAGATATAAAGAGGTAAATATTTAGATTAAATTTATTCAATAATGAATAACGTTTCATGCTGTATAAGGTTCACACGAGTGTCCGGAATGGGACAACACAGTTAGGAAATCAGTCAGCATTTCAACAGCTTAACCAGAGTGTCAACTGCCTTTTTACATTGGAATCGAAGAGTCCAGAGATGGGAAATATTTTCCTTCATGTTTTGTTTGTTAGAAGACTGGAACACGTGTGATATTTCGCTGCCGATAATTTCCAGACGATCTCTTGTCCGGACTACCGCATGTCTTGACGATCTACTCATACTGTCTAGATTGTCCGATGTATTGAGGTATACTGTAGACACTTCGCAGATGTGACTTATTTCCAAATAAACTCCTATCATGCTGTTCAGAAACGGCTTTATCTTGTCCGCCACTGCCATTTTGTCAGTCAGTTTTGACGTTGTAAAGTCCACTAATTCCCCACCAACGCGGTTACCAAGACGTCGATGGAGCATTCCTAGTGAAGTCGACATCTTGTGTACAGCAGACGACATGATTTTGACATTTTCTGAATGACGAAGGTTTCGATAATCCACTGCCTTTTTATATCCCGTATGTTCATTAGGAGAATTTTCAGTTACACGAAGTTCCCTCTTTTTGGTTCTATATAAGTCGCCTTGTCCTTTTACTCCTACTTGCATGCATTTTTTCACGTAAACGTGGTTCCGGAAGTCTTTACCACAACCCCAGCAGAAATTACAGCCACAGACGCATGTCATGTAAAAACAACCGCCATTTTTTTCCAAGAACTGTTTGCATCTCGGGCATTCCTTTCCCTGAGCGAAACGGATGTAATCTTCACTTGGTTCTACGTCATCGCCAAATTTTCGAAGTGCACTGGAATAAGAGGCAAAGTCATCACATGCTAATGGCCAATGTGCCGGCTTCAAACAGTCAAAGCAAGCACTGGTTCCACACGAACAGGTGAAAGTGGCCTGTTTCCCTACAAGATTCCTCTCACATTTGATGGAACGTCCGCAATGCTTGTTTGGGCACCATTTTGAGTCAGGTTCAATTTCAACGTCCGTTGTCAATCTTCGTTGAAAAGCCTTTTGCACGATTTTTATGTTTGATGTGGTAAGTAAAATATTATAATCAACAACAGATCGGCACTTGTATTCTGGGCATGTAATTTGCCCTGATCCACTATTCGTTACCGAGAGCAGATGGTCAGCCCAGCATCGGTCACAGAACCAGTGTCCACAAATCTGAAGAGCAGTGGCCGAACTCTCCTCAATATCTTCACAGCAAATGGAGCAAGTGTCTGGAGGAAGCAACTCGAAGTCCTGTGCAGTCAGAGACTCATTTTGATCTGAATTTGAGCTCTGAAGAAGATCTTTTACCGTTATACGATGGTGAATTGGATTGATCGACTGGACTTTTGTTCCTCTGCTTTCCGCTAGTATCTCAAATTCTGTGTGAGCCTGTCTTGTATATGGCAGCAGCGAATCTTTGTGTACAAATTCATCACGCGGGATGGTTTCTATATAGGATACAGCTTTGTTGACAATATCCTCTACACTACAGACACTGCCTTCCGGAAAGGTGTTGATTCTGGTGGATGATTTCCTTGTCATCATATTGAGACAAATTTTAAACATATCTTCATCGGTGTTATCTAAACTACCATATATATCGTAGACAAATATCAAAGCTGAGGAAAGGTCCAAACTAAATATATCGACATCACGAAAAGCTTTCGACTTAAGGACAGTATTCTGTACTTTTTTGGTGATGTCGATGACAAATTTTCTTGGTGAGCAACAGCACTCACTGTAGGCGTCACCAAATGTTTGTTTAAGTGTTTCTACAGCAACCTCATTAGTAGGGATATTAACGCGGACATATTCCATCGAACATATCGTTTCTTCCCCTGACTTCACATCCGCCTTCTTTATCTCGATCTCTTTTACCTTCACTTCTTCTTCTCTATTCATGTATACGATTCTGTCTTTTGTTTCTCGTCTGGTCAC